AGATAGAAAATGGCTGCAATCTATTTTCAGACTCCCGAAGGAGACGACATAGTCGAAACTAGAGTCAATAAGTACCACCTTACAACCTGGATTTGGCATAAACACTACATGATTACATTGCTTACATTCAATGCATGATTCGTGATGGTCGGCACCGAGGGGTGAGCTTTGCCATCATTAGGCGAGAATGAGTAGGGCATATATAGTAGGACCAGTGCGAGCCTCTGCAAAGCAGAGATGACGCACTAGTTCACAATAACATGCTTTGCAAAAGTTCGTTTATGTGTATTTTGCACAAAAATTAGAGAAATTACTACAAAAGATTGTGTTTGTTTTATTGTCTGCACAAGCTAAACGAAGCAGCTATGATTTTCTCTTTTGACAGTACTCAAATGACCCAACACAAGCCGAAACGGCGGAGCCGAAGCCCTTTCCCCGCGAAGCCGCGCCCCATTATGGCCGATCCACTGCTCATCATTTACGACTGGCCAGGATGACTATCACGTCCGGCCCGTGGAAGTTGCAAATGCCAGAACAGGTTCGCGGCTCTCCCGCCCAGTGTCTGAGTAAGAGCATGCAGCAACTTACCTCAAACTTTTATACTCTCCCTTGGCTAAAGTAGCATTCACTTCGCTAATGTCAACAAGGGGACTGCTATACACCATTCGATCAAATTCCAGATCATAAGTCGGCTGTAATCATATTGCAATCTTAGAAGCTCTATGGCATTTTAGAAGCTGGAAAAAAAGTACATATTAAAAGCTTACATTAAGAAGATAGTCCAGATTCATAAGAGTAAATGTAACAGGAGCTTTGTTTAGAATGACTTTTGCGACGTGTTTATCGAAGAACTGGCCTCTGAATTTTGCATATTAGAAATGTAGAATGGACCATGATTGTACGCACTTGCTAGCGCCTTTCTTTCCTAGTGCAGTCATCTTTGTGCGACTAATTTCCGGTCTGATGCAATGGCGTCCCTATGACAGACTTTTTAAAGCTGTAAGATTTCGTATAGATATGATCACTTTTCTGTTCTCGGGTTCTCTCATCCAATCATCCCAAAATCCTGCAGGCCATTTCGGACTCAACTCATTCCAGACTTTTCTAAACTACCAAGATTATAAAACAGATCTCTTGAGAAAATACAAAGATGTAAATTAGTATGAGCACCTGGTCATCATCCATCCTAATCCGGGAAAAAAGTCACTGCGATAGAGAAGAGTATTTGCTCGTATGTCAATGACATGGCTCTGAAATCAATGACTAAACTGCCCATCTACACCTCTCCTACACTCCAGGCAGTTACCACTGTAATCAATGCAGACCAAGAACTATAGATAGATCTGAGTAAAGGGTAATAAGTGCGCCAACAGAGTCATTTCCGTCTTATCTAGAGGAAGAATGACACAGATACCTAAAGAGCAAGATATGACGCGCCCCCTCCCAAATCCCTTTCGTTTACCCGTGGTGATGTACGCGCATACAACTCTTAACCGACTCATAAACTTGTTGATCGAATACGCAAAGCAAGCTCTTGTCTTTTAGGCCCGT